ATAAAACAACTGAAAAGCTTTATCCTTAGGACCTGCATGCATATCTAGAATATCTAAACTGCTAATAATGGACTATGACAGTCATACCTACTAACTCAATTGACAACATATACGTAATAAAAATCACACAGGGACTGAAAGCAGGTGGCAATGTTTAGTCATTGCTGGTACCGGTCTGTATGCAAATTCTCTCATGGGTTTCAAGTAATTCTTTTGTTTTTTGAAACTACAGTATTACTTTGTATCAATTGTAATATAATAATTATACTAAGGATAAGATCCCAAAACTCTGACCTCGAAAAACAATTGCAAGATTAATGGAAGCATGGATGATAAATAAGAAAAAGGGGCATTATTACTATTATATGCAAATTGAAGAATAAATTGATTGCAAAGATATTAACTTTTATTATCATTGGTTTTACACATACAGTACATTGAATGTAACATTATCATTGTCTTGTGTTATTTTTCCTCTGCACACCAGCTCCCCTAGTGATGTTATGAACTTCTTACACTCACAGCTTGGACCCCATTCGACAAAATGCACCTATTTTTCTTATTCCCACCCTTCCTCCCACTTCTCCTGGATACAGATCTCCTCCCTCCCTGACTTCTCAGTCCTTGCCTCTCTCTGCCCCCTTCTGCCCATCTCCTCCCTGCTGCCCTCGGTCCCACAAAGCTAACGCCACAGTCCTCTGTTCTTCAACCCCGAGGCTGTGCAGTGTGTCACTGCAAACCAAAGAAGCAGGAGCACAGAGCAAGAAGAAGTGAGAGGCTGTGCAGGGAGGGAGCTTCTTAATGGCAGCCAAAAAAGGAATGAGACAGTGTCTGTTTCATCTCCAGAAAAATGTGAGGGAGACCAGCTTCAGCGGTCCCCACATTTCGTTTTAATTTAGTCCAATTTTTCTTCACCCTCCATATTTGCTCTTTTAGGCCATTGTTGAAAAGTAAGAGCTTCTTTGCCCAGCACATACTTGTATTCCTGTGGCTTTTGCTGAATATATATTTTCTGTTTTAGGGCTTTGCTCTGTATTTAGTTGTACTTAGCTGGTTATGGTTCAATAATAATAATAATAGATACTTTATTGATCCCTGTTGGGAAATTCTCCACGATACCTCCCTCAGATGTAGATGACAGCAAGTTGGCCATGACGGGCAGCCACCCATAGCAGTGCCTGGAGAGATGAGGGTTAATGGTATTGCTCATGGAGCTGCAGATGTGCTGAGACTGGGCTTAAACCAGCAACCTTCTGATCACAGGCACAGAGGCTTAGCCTACTGAGCCACATGCTGCCCCCCAATACTGCCATCTCTTCCTGTCCATGGGAGCCCCTCAGAAATATCTCCCCAGCATGCACTGCTCTGTTGCAGTCTCACTCTGCCTTGTTCCACCGTGCTAGCACTTGAAACACTTTGGCCTCTGAGTACCTATGTTTTTATTTGGTCTTCACCATTTGGGCTACATTTTGCAAGGCAGAAACACACACAGGCTAATGAGTGCCTGACCTTTTAACTCTGTGTGAGTTTCTGCTTCTTGTGTGACTTCTCATTTCAGTTTCTATCCTGTTTTTCATGTACACCACTCTTTGTCCCTTTGTCATTCCATGTTTCTGGCTCTTTCTATATTCATTTTGCCTTGGATATCACTTTGGGCCATGTGGCCTGAGAAAGCCTTCTACTGTTGTTTTGTGTGTGTATGCGAGTGTATGTGTGTGTGAATGTTTTGAGTGCATGTAAGTGTGTGTGTGTGCATGTGAGTGTGTGTGCATATGTGTGTGTGTGTGTGTGTGTGTGTGTGCATGTGAGTCTGGATGTGTGTGTGTATGTGTGTGAATTTGTGTTTGTGTGTGTGTGCAGCAGCACACGTGTGTAGGGGCACCTCAGCCAGCCCTCCCTCTGCCTCCTTGCTACAGTGTGTGAGGAGCTTTATTCCCTGGGCTGCTAGTTATAATGTTTCTGGGGGTGATGGGGGGAACTTGAAAGCCCTGTGCTGCCCAAATCAAAACTAACAAGGAAATGATGGGGGCTCCTTTATCTCCTTTCTGGCCTGGGGGGGGTGGGGGCTGCACAGAGAGGGTGGTTGGGGAGTGGGACGGCCCTGCTTCCTCTTTGATTTGTAAAAAATGCATTACCTCCGAAATCAAACGGAAAATTACTGCACAGGAGAGAAACACACGGAGAGGGAGAGTCTGGGAGGCTGAGGGAAAAGGTGCAGGAGGACGGCGACGCAGGCAGTGCAAAAGGACTGGTTTGTTCATTTAGACGGACCGACTGTGGAGGATCGCCTGTCTGCCATACTGAGCACCAGGCAGCACTGGGAGGGGCTGCCAGAGTCTCACCGTGCAAACAGATGATCTAATTGCACACTCGTGAGATCCCTGTGTCCAGGGAGGTAGACCAAGTTTCTGTTTATTATTTTATTATTTATGGTGGCATGTGATTTTTGGGAGAGTCCAGGTAAATTACTAAAATGCCTGAAAAGAAAGTTGCACACATTCCCTGCGCTGGACCTATAACCTTCTGGTTTGCCCAGCCACCATTCAACCCTCTGCCCACTAATGACGAGGTTCTGAGACCACCTGGTAACCCACTGGGGGCAAATGGAGACCGGAACCATGCTGTCAGTGTATGTGGAATTCCTCAGGAGCTGCTGTGAATACAGGGTTTGGTGATATTAAGTACAATTTTTACACATAAAGATAGTTATAAACCCCCACAAGGGGAGCCCTTGGTCGTAGTGTGAATATTGTATGGCATCATGTCCAAGATGTGTGAATCGAGTAGCTTTTGGTGTTTGTTTGTCTTTCTGCACACCAGGCTCAGAAGTTTCATCTCTAACTTTTCACGTATTGCTTTCACCTCCCACTACGCCAGACCCTAGTGAACCATGGCACTGGAGAGAAAGTGTGTGAAGTTATTTACCCCGCATAGAGTTAGGGTTACCATGTTTGAAATGTCAAAAGGGGGTGGCCCTTGAGAAGCAAAGGCCTGGTCATAATTATTTAAAAAACACACTAGGATCACATAAATCAATGTTTAATGTTCAGTGGACATTTATTTTTCAAGGAAAACAAGCCAAAAAGGAAAAGCAGCAAATATAGCAGAGAAGAACGTGCTGATATTGCATTTGATCAGTGAAGTAGTTGGCTTTGTGTTTGCTTCAAAAATATTTAAATTGTCCTGGAAATGTGCCAGAACCCCCCCCCCCCTTCCAATTAGGTCATTAATCTGATCATTATACAAACTAAAAAATGGAAGACTGTACTATTTAATTCACTTATTTGTTCGACCTTAGATTTGGCATTAACTGCTCATTTGGAAAATTCACAGACTGAGGAGGATGGAAGCAAGAAAAGAGAGAAACTGAAGAGGGATGATAAACTGAAGAGGGTTAAAAAGACTTCGAAAGGGAATGGGGGAGCAGCCAGGAGGGGGTGTAAACATGGAAACACGTAAATGCAGGGGCGAAGAGAACCAGTCCACACATAGGGTGGAGGAGAGAGATGGAGAAAGAGGGAGGGGGGTGAAGGAGCAGGGAGAGAAGTCCAAAGACTGAGAGAGGCAGAGAAATGCCTGGAGTTAGCAATAATAATTTATACAAACACACCTTAATAATTCACGTTCCATTTCAATGCTGGAGGGAAAATCCAAAATTCACAGAGCATAATTAAGTACAGAGACAGAGAAGAGGAGGAGAGAGTGGGAAAGAGAGAGAGAGAGAGAGAGAGAGAGAGAGCGAAAGAGAGAGAGAGAGGGCAGCATAAAACAGCAGGGCATTTGTGGCTTTTCACCTCCATCTGACAGACTTTTTGCAAACTTGAAGTTGCCAGACCACTGTCATTTTCTTACAGCATTTATATTAAAATACTGTAACAGATGAGTTTATTGAGTCATGTTAACCAATCTATCCACATTTTAATTTTAATTAGTTTTTGTGTATATATTGTACAGTGATTTACTAACTGAATAAATTCTATTTAACAAGATTTTTTATGACATTTTTTCCCATATATCTATGTAGCGTCTGGTGAAAATCTACAAACATTTTCATGTCAGTTTTATTTGTCCAACATTGACTTAAAATATATTAAACTAGAACTTTTGTAAGAAAACACAATGAGAATTATCTCACTTAAATTAAGACATTCCTCCTGATGACTGGAATATAATGGTACTTTTGTTGGTATTTTTTCCAGAATTATTTGTTCTGTGCTAAATCATCAAACATATTTTCAGGTATACAAGTATGGGGTATGCCTGAATTTTAGTTGCATGAAATATGAAAATAGTGCTTTCAATTCATCAATCAATCAGGTGAAGTTGGGGTGAAACTTATGATAGGATTTTGAAAACAATATTATTAGTTAAAATGCTGGTACGGTACCCTAAACCCATGCTCTGTTTGTACCTTTAAATGCTGGTACCTAACCCCCCTGCTCTGTTTGTACCTTTAAATGCAGGTACAATAATCCCCTGCTCTGTTTGTACCTTTAAATGCTTGCATCATAATCCCCTGCTCTGTTTGTACCTTTAAATGCTGGTACACTAATCTCCTGCTCTGTTTGTACCTTTAAATGCTGGTACCCTAAATCCCCTGCTCTGTTTGTACCTTTAAATGCTTGTATCATAATCCCCTGCTCTGTTTGTACCTTTAAATGCTCATATCCAAAAGCCCTGCTCTGTTTTTACCTTTAAATGTTGGTACAATGATCCCCTGCTCTGTTTGTACCTTTAAATGCTGGTACCCTAAACCCACTGCTCTGTTTGTACCTTTAAATGCTGGTTCCCATAAAACCCTGCTCTGCTTGTACCTTTAAATGATTGTACCGTAATCCCCTGCTCTGTTTGTACCTTTAAATGCTCATACCCTAAACCCCCTGCTCTGTTTGTACCATTAAATGCTGATTCCCATATACCCCTACTCTGTTTTTACCTTTAAATGCTCTTTCCCTGAACTCCTGCCCTCCACTTCTCTTGTCTCTCAGGTGCGGCTGAGCTATGGACTGTAGCTGTGTCAGTGACCTTTTGCTCACGCCCCCGGTCCCTGCCCTGTGGACACCAGGTGACTGTCACTGAGTGATACTTACCTACAGCACACAACACTTCAGGCTGACCACTGCAGACTGACATTTTTTAAATGACTTTACCAAAAACATTACTAACCAGGTACAGATATAATTACAAATCCATTTGCAATTGTATATTAACTTAGAAGATTTTGGAAAAAACACAGACTTGCATACGTTCTTGCCGATGGTCTCTGTGTTGGCAAAAATCATGTGGTACATTGTTTCTGACCTAGTTCCATTATAATATCTAATAATAATCCCTGTACTGCTCTCCTATAAGATTTCCCTTACCTACTATCTTCTATATTCTGTATGTTTAATTCTGTTTTTTTCTAAGCTAAAAAAACGAGGTTGTTGGTTAAAGCAATTCCCCATCTGTTAGAGCTTGTTAGACGGGCTTCAGCATCCATCCCCACCTTCCACTCCCTGCATCGCAGGCATCGCCTTCCCAGACTGGGCCTACAAGCCAGAGTCGAGCCCAGGCTCACGGCAGATCCAGCTGTGGCACTTCATCCTGGAGCTGCTGCAAAAGGAAGAGTACCAGGGGGTGATCGCCTGGCAGGGCGACTATGGCGAGTTCGTCATCAAGGACCCTGATGAGGTGGCCAGACTCTGGGGCATCCGCAAATGCAAACCTCACATGAACTACGACAAGCTGAGCCGCGCACTGAGGTAGGGCCCGAGAGGGTGGTGCCATGGCCGCAGGCGAGCTCTCAGGAGCCCTCATCACTCATACTTCCTCTTAATGACCATGTGTCAGTCTCACCCAACCCCATTTCTCTGCTCCTCCTCCATGCTCTTCCTCCATGTTTTTCTTCCATGTGTCTGTGCAGGGAGCAGCAGTGTCAGGAGGAGTTTGACATTGGGGGGGGATGATAAATATTGTGACATCGCAATGGACACACATGCAAAAGTCATATCACAAAAGGATGCGATGTAAGCAAGACTTTAAAACAATTCTAGAATAATAAAGATTTCATCATTTAAAATAAAACTAACACTGTTTATGGTACAGTGTCATAACTAAACAGAACCCAAAAAATGACTGATTCATATGATAAAATGTTTTGTTTCTGATAATGTTCCGGACAGACATGACAAAGGATGGATAATCCACATTGTGGCTTACGACGTTGGGACTCTACTGAACTCAAAAAAACAAGATACAAAAGTACCATGATGGGTCAAAAACAAAGTAGCTACAACACAAAAACTAAGGCAGGGAACAATACAGGAACAACCATAGTAGAACAGCAGCACACACAAGGAGAATTTTTGGGAGAATCCAGGTAAAATACTAAAATGCCTGAAAAGAACGTTGCACACGTTTCCTGCGCTGCATCTATAACCTTCTGGTTTGCCCAGCCACCATACAACCCTCTGCCCACTAATCATGGGGTTCTGAGACCACCTGGTAACCCACTGGGGGCGAATGAAGACCGGAACCATGTTGTCATTGTCATTTTTGTCCAATTGTCATTGTAATTCCTCAGGAGCTGCTGTGAATACAGGGTTTGGTGATATCAAATAAAGGATATTACCAAAGTGTATATCTCCTCTCCCACGCCATTCCTTGTGATGATCCGGTGACTTCTCCCTTGTTGTCTTTGACCATCCTGATAAAAACCAAATGCTGGCTTTTCAGTCTTCGCCTATGCTGGGATCTGTGACTCTACCTGGAGTATTAATTACACACAGGAGCGTACAGGTGTGGGGCTCCGGCCAGCTCCAGATTAATGTCTCTGGGCCCCTTAATGTCCCTCCAGTTCCACTACAAGACAAATGTCACATACGGCTAATTCGCTCACATAGACACACCCTCACGCCTGTTTCCCCCTCTCTATTCCATCCTTTCTTTTCCTGTCCTATGTTTCCCCCCTCCCCTCTCCTCCCCTCCCATCATTCTGCCCTCTCAGTAATAGGTGCTGTCGGTGGGGTCTAATTGTTATGAATTGGCTAGGCCCTTAATTAGCCTCGTTGATTAGCCCTGCTTAATTGCTCAATTACTGCTAGCACGCAATCGCCCTGCGAAGTAAATGCATACAAATTATTAAAATGACTTGACATAGTCACTGTATGCCCTGCATAGCGATGACAGGCACACATAAGTCTTATTATACAGTTAAACATTTAAATACAAATTCATATTTGTATCCTTTACTGTAATTTATGCTGAAATAAATTTTTTCTGTATATAAACATGATGCCAAGTACTTGTATAAACAGCTGCTACATACATATATATGTGTGCGTGCGCGTGTGCGTGTGTGTGTGTGTGTCTTTAATATCAAATAGCGTTTCCATTCTATGCAAACTTCATTTGCCTTGCCCCAATGTTAGGTCCTACGGTAACCCGCTGCAGGAGCCAGCGCAGCAGTGAGCTTCCCTTAACCCGTCCCCTGTATTAACCCCCTTTGCTTTACTCACTCTTCTCTACCCTTCTGATCCTTTTCTCTTCTCCCCCCTCTTTCCTCTGTCTCCTTTGAACCAGGTACTACTACAACAAGCGCATTCTGCACAAAACCAAAGGCAAGCGCTTTACCTACAAGTTCAACTTTAGCAAGGTGGTTCTGGTGAACTATCCTCTACTGGACATGGCCAGCTCCCCCTTCCTGCTGGCCCAAAACCACTTCAACGGAGGTTCGGCAGCGCCAGACTGCAGCCCGGTCTCTCCAGAGGTACCGGAGGATAGCCTAGTTAGACAGATGGAGGGAGGGAAGGAAGGATGTTTTTGTGCCAGACTTTGTTCGACTGCTTAATTGTTTATCAATTACACCAACCAGCAATACAATTACAATTGCCTATATAGTTTTTGAAACACTGTCAGTATACTCTGCAAATCATTAAACGTCTACAAGAGCAAAAAAGACGCTCCTGTTACACTTGTTTTAAAAAAAAGAACAAACATTTGTATGTCAGTATAAATAATGCCTTTCATAATAGTCTTTTAAAACCATGAGTCTTTGTGAACTTTTCCATTATACAATAAAATTTAATTTTCTTTAAAGCGAACGCTCAATAAGGGAATAACACTTAATAACACAATCCGACTCCTTTAGAGATCGGCGCTGGTACTCAAAACAAAGTGAAGGACGGGGGACGGGGGGTGTTAGATGTCCTTAAAACAAAAGCAGACATTATCCCCTTTCATTCCCATCTCACATCATGTATCCTTCGCTGTCATCGATTGAAAAAAAAATGAAAGAAATGAAGGCGTATATCAGATCAGTCGGTGGGGTAATTAATTCAAGTTTTCGTTAAGCAATCGAGATCTTGTGGCTTGGAAGTACAGTCTCTGACTTCAAACTTTGAACTCCACAGTGACAGAAATTATTGATCGCTTCTGCTCAGAGCCCTCGGCCCCCCGGGGACAACTTGCGACTTTGCCGTTTCCTTTATTTAGCCCCTCTCGGCCGTGGCTCCCGCGCCACCCCTTAAAAAGAGGACCTTCTGTGTATTCTTCTCCTTTTCTGACCTAGCCGATTCCTCTCTTCCTCTACTACATCTCAAGGAAGACTGGGTTTCAATACTGTGGTCGTTTCCTTGCATTTCCCGATCCACCCATCTGTTTGCCCGGTTGTCTGTATTGTACCGTATCAGTGTTGTTTCCTGGGGGCTGTCCCGTCTTTCATCTCTTCATTGCTTTGGTAACCCCTCCCCCCCCACACGCCATGTTATGGGACAGGGTCAGCGGAGTCCACCTTTTGTTTCTCTGTGTGTGTAAGTGTTCCCATTTCCACTTGCAAACTGGCCTTCCGTTAAAAAAACCTTCATTATAACAATCATTTAAATAACTGCAAATTGGTTCTAGTAGCAATGTACTGAAAGAGATCAGTTGTGGAACTGATGGATTCCTTTTAAATACTGATCCTGGCAGTCTTCTTGTTATAGTATCAATGTTCAGTGGTTCAGATCAAATTCAAAGTCAAATCTTTTGAAGTACAAATATTCACAAACAATATTTTTCCCACAACAAAAGGACTTCTCTATGTCATCAAGAGGTAAAAGTATCAAGATCTGATAAATCGTGTCAAAAACATTTAAGATATGCATAATATATTAGCGGTGCTTTTTTCCTATTTGCTATCATGTGACTCAAATAGTAATCATAGATTATTAAGCCACAGAAGAGTCAATTTTGTCCTTTTCCACTGAATTGCCTTTGCATATACTGTAATGTCCCAGTGGATCAATTGAGTTAATCTCTCTGGTACTCTCTCTCTCTCTCTCTCTTTCTCTCTCACTCACTCACTCATTCCTTTCCTGCTTCCTTCCTTCTCTATTGCAGGCACTGCAGTCCCTGTTTCCACGGTTGCCAGATTCTGGGAGAGGGGGCTCCCTGTTCGAGAGGAGTGCAGGCCCGCCGGGGCCCGATGGGGACAAGCTAAGACTTGATGCCTTCCCGTTCCTCAGCTCAGGTGAGATGGCGTGATGGTGAGCTTTGCAAGGTGCTGAAAGATGTCATCTCCTCACGGGCATATTAACGCTTTGAATCCACAAAGAGGACAGGAGACTATGGAGTGAAGTATATGGAGATCCTGCTGCCCTACATCGAATTAAACTATTTGGAAAGACAGATGGAGGTGTGGGAGGGGGAGAAAGGGAGGGGCATTAAAAATCACCCAGAGAGCGTGAGATTAATTGGATGCAGGGTTTTGGCGTGGGAGCACATCTGCCTGCCTACAGTTGCACTTGTCTGTTGGAACGCCGGTTACCTTTCTGGACACTAGGTCGCTCAGTGTGTGCATCTCTGCATAGCTGCTTTTGCGTACTCTTTTAAAATTTATTTATTTGCTTGTTTCACCCCCACTACTTTGTTTTTCCTGAGGTGTCTCTCCCTCCTTTCTCTCCTTATGCATCTCCCCTCCCATGTGTCCCCCCTGTCCTAATCCCTTCCCAGGCAGGAAGGGCCTAATTGAGGGTGCAGGCTTCAGTTTGTGGCCTGTGGGCGCCCATTACTGTGTTTTTATAAGCAAGTGAGGTCTGTCTGACTGATTCAATATTCATGTGTCTGCCAGCTACTCCCAGCCTAACGCAGTGAGATCCTACCGTGCCAAATTAGCCCTCCATATCAAATAACAAAACCAGGGAGGTGCTTAAAAAAGCAGGCAGAATGAAGTGTGCCCTGTTTGACAATTTTTGGGGCTGAAATGTGATTCTTTTGTTCCACCTGCATGGAAACTTAATAATGTGCTTTTCATTTTTGCCATTAATAATCCTATTTCAGCACAATAGCAGTTTAAATATCTAAATATATGTGCCGAATAGCTGATGTCTGTTTGTTTATATATGTGCAGAATAGCTGATGTATGTTTGTTTATATATGTGCAGAATAGCTGATGTCTGTTTGTTTATGATATCCCTGTTGTGTCATAGTTCAAGTTCAAATTTGCTGTCATGTGTACTTTGTGCAATGAGCCTGTCACTGCATACCTCCTGCAAGCTGACAGGTAGCAGTTTATTAACAGAGAATCACATGACGTGTCTGTGCTGTCCACTGTGTGTTCTGTGATACTCTTGTTCGAGTTTATAACTCTGCTTCTCTCCGCCCCCTTGTCTGCTGCAGGTGCCCCCTGTTATTCCAAGCCCCCCTCCCTCTTGGGCCCTTACCCCCGTAATCCACCATTTGACTACCCATGGAGCTTCAACCCCTACCTCCCAGGGGCTTTCTCCCTCAACAACTGCCCCAAACTGCCCCCTGGCTCCCTGTATCAGTCCCACTTTTACCCCAACCCCTTGCCGACCAGCCTGTCCCAGCTGCCCAATCCTTTCTCCTCACTTCTGCCACCTGGAGACGGAGCAGAGAGAGTTGGGGCACAAGCTGGGGGCGCCGGTGGCACCGTGGGAGGCCTACCAGCCAGGCTCTGCATGCCCCCCTACTCCGGCACCTTGGCTCTCAATCGGACTGAGATGGGAAACGGAGGTGCAGGGGAGAGAGAAAGGTGCGAGGTCAACGCAGGAGCTAATGGCAGCCTAGGGTTGGGACTCGGACTGGGTTTAGGACTGGGATTAGGGGGCGTTGCTTTGGGGAATGGCGGGGGAAGGCAGAGCCCATCAGAGAGGCGCGGGGCCGTGAAACAGGACCCTGAGTCTGACTCAGAGCTGGAGATCACAGATCTGAGCGACTGCAGCTCTGATAATGAAAATGAGCCTGAATTTATCATGTCCAAGGATGGCAGGCTGAGTAGCCGATCGCAGATTCTGGAAGCCAAAAGAGCAACACCTTTACCACCTCTCTCCTCCCTCACAAAAGCTGGCTCTCCACGTCCTCTAAAAAGCGTAGCGCCCTCAGCACCTTCCACCCCTTCCCTCCCCAGGTCCCTGTCCCCGTCTCTCTCTCTGGTAGATAGACACAGGCAAACAGAAGCACTCAAACTCACTCATAGCTAATAAATTTTTGTCTCTTGTTCATATTCCTTCAACTCTCTCTCCCTTTCTCTTCTGGTCCCTTCTCTTTGGGATCCATATGTTATTTATTCTTTTTTTGGTTCCTACCTTTGCATTTCTACCTGTATACTTCCCAGTCTCTCTTGGCACCATTGCTTTCGGTTTCTCTTCCCCTTTTCACCTGTTCTGATCTTCTCACATTTGGATTTTGACCTCTTGATTTTCTGTCTGTCATAACTTACACTCAACTCAACAAAATCTCATTTCATCAGTCACCTGTTACCCTGTAATGTTTATGTGTCCCGTTTACTTGTGTCCATTTAAATGAGATTATATTCAGGCATATTCCTTTACTTATTTTTGTTTCCTCAGATAGTACACCATTCCACAAAACCTCAGATACTTAATTTGTTTTTGATTGTGTATGATATATATTTGTTCTGACATGGTCATGTTGAACCCCTTTTTCCATGAGTGTACTCTACAACGTAACACTGTACTCCTCTATATTGTCAACCATACTACCCTATATTACTAAGGTAGGGAACATTAGTAGATACCACAGGGGACATTGAGATCATGACTACTACATTTTAAAATATATATCTGAGACATCACATTGAAAGAAAAGTGACAATACTGCATTAAACAGCACTTATATCAGGGGTCTCCAACTCCGGTCCTGAAGAGCTACTAACCAGTAGGTTTTCTATCCTACCTGGCTTCTGATGAGCCACACTAGTTCTCAGGTAAATACCAGGAGCAGGTGTGGTTCATCAGAAGCCAGGTAGGATAGAAAACTTACTGGATAGTAGCTCTCCAGGACCGGAGTTGGAGACCCCTGACTTATATATTGAATTTTGCCCGGTTATTAAGGGTCTACTTTCTGACAATTGTTGCGTAGTGTTGCCATCTAGTGGGCAGTACATGTTACTACATTTAAAAAAATTAGGATAACTTTCCTGACACCAAGAGCTTTTTTTTTTTAACCGTAACTACGTTGAGAGGCCTATTTTAAGGGGAGGGCTTTATGTTATATATAGGTTTGCCATCGCCCCCCAACAAAAACTCAGACCCCCTATCCATTCATCTCTAAGTACACCCCTGCTTCAAGATATTGTAGTAAATCTCAAATGCAAACCAATGCATTTTTATTAAATGTTTATTATCTATATTAATGTAAAACTGTACAAAGCAACCCAATTTCAAACGTCACCTCATGAAAACATCATGAAAAGAGAGAGAGAGTAGGAAAGATCAAAACATTTGTATCTATACTCCATGTATATATTTTATTGTGTAAATTCAATTATTATAAGCATTAATAACAGATCTAGTTGTATTTGTGTGATTTAACTCAGCATTTAAAAACAAATATCTGAAAATAGATAACTGTAAGTGTGTTTAATGATTAAAGGTATTAACCACAGCTTTCAGACTTTTACAATGAAGTTTTATGAGAAGAACAATGTTTGAACTGGGAATTTTGTTCTGTTTCTTTGAATTGTCCCTAATTATTCCCATTAGATACCGTCACAATGCAATGTATATTGGATCTGTTGATTTAGAGTATTCCTTTTGTTTATTTTCATAGTTAGCGATCACTCAGTGTAACTGTAATGTGAATATGTTGTTAAATATAATGTGAATATGTTGGCTACTTCATATTGTTTCTTTTAAAGTTGTCATTAATTTTGCTAATGCTTTTATCCAGGGTGACATTTAAGTAATACAAGCATATAAATTGAAATACTGTTATAGGGGATCTATTTTTTCGGTGCAATAAAACGAATATGAACAACAGAGCAGAGTGCTAATACACAACATACAGCGTATTCACTATTTAGTTGTTTTGTTAACATGCTGTAGGGTAAGATATGCACTTAGACATTATAAGGTAAGAGATAAGAGATACTGATGCAATGATACTGTACAGGTCTGTGAGCACTGATTTTCATAGGAAGGCCCAGAAAAAATTAATATGCCTTCCAAAACTCATTCTTTATTGCATAGTCTTCTAACACAACTGTAAATAAATCTAGTTCCTTGTAAAATCTTCTTCCTGTGTGAAAAAAATCAAGAATGCAGTGAGATTATGAGTCAATTTCTTTGTTGAACTGTAAAAAGGATAAAGGGATGAAAAGACAAAAAAGAAAACAAGAAAATAATATCTTCAAAAGCAATAAACTTTTTTCTGAAGTTTCGGCAGTGCCCACGTTACATTGTGTTATTTGTGTGTGGACTGTTTATGGGCTGCTGCTGGTGTGTCATATGCAGACATCATGCTTGTTGCATCTAGTTTCAGTGCCTTTTGCCCATAATCCATTGCGTATAGGTTTGCATGATTGTGAGGTGAGTTACAGATAACCAGACTCAGGTAGTGATCGCCAAAACAACACCTCATAAACCATTTGTGATATTTTTTGTTCCATTTTTTGTTGGCTTGCTTTGGGCCATGTTTTGAGCCATTAATTTAACAGACAGCACCACCTAGTGGGGTTAGAAAATACAGGAAATGGTTCATGAACCATCATTTTGCCCATGACTACTTAGAGGCTTTTACATTATGCTTGATATTGAAATCCACGCTAAAATGTAACCTCATGTTGTACAGATAACAGCATTGTTCATCTGCACACTAGAAATAAGAAGAGGCAAATTCAAAATAGAAATTCACTTTTGTTTTAGATTCAATACATAATTTTATTATATAGCTTAAAGGGCCATTATAGCGGTGGTATCTTTACAGACTCGTAGGTAATTGAGTTAGCAATGTTAGACTCATAGGAATTCATAGTTATTGTATTTCTTCCGAATGGGGGCAAAGATGCTTAAAAGCAATATTTATGTGATCTGAGGAAAAAACAGTGCAACTAAGCAGTAGTACCCCTTACAGTAGTGATGTCCAAATGAAGTTTCACAAGCCATTTTCTGTGTTTTGTGCCCTGACTAGATGGTACTCTTAGGTAGCTATGAGGCATGCATTGAGCCCTTTTTTGAATAGAGAGCACCATCTAGTGGTGCCAGAAAATACAGTAAATGGTTCATGAAGCTTCATTCCACTATAACTACCTTACAGTATGTGTACGTACTATTTCAAAACTTGAGTTCCTCCTTACAGGAGTAAGTAATTGATGCAAGACTTCATTTAATTTTTGCTTTCTATCCAAACAAAACATGGTTGAATAAACAAAAACACAGTCTCAGCAAAAGATTGTGTTGCTTTCTACCCTTGTAATGCGGCCTGCCCATTCTGTGCAACCAAATATGGACATGGGTTGACATTTTTATTGTTTACTCAAGACAGTGTAGAGGTGCTGGTTCAGTCATGGTGATGGGCTTAATCCCAGTAACTGAGTGCAAGGAACTTTGGGACAGTTAAGTTACTTTGGTTAGTCATTACTTATTTTGGGTTATTTTTGTGAGATTTTTTTTAATTTTATTTTCTTTAACTACGTTCAATTGTTTGGGACCCATTGGCACTCGGTTGGGAGGCTTAATGGACAATAAAGCATTTGCATCCTATCCTGTTTTGTGAGGCCCTCGAGTTTGTCCATCGGCCTATTGGCCAGCACGCAACAACTCTGAATTAATTTTTCTTTTTTGCAAGAAAACAATGGCAGTGGAATAAAACAAACATTACAAATGCAGGGAGCTGCACTAGTTTATACAATTACAATATACAGTATGTGCATGAATTACATTAAATTCTTAACATAAATCTTAATTATTAAAATAACAAGTGGAATATGGGCAGTGTGCGGTTCAGTAGGTTAGGATGCTGTGTTGTGATACCAGTTCAAATCCCAGGGTCAGCAGAGTGATGTAACTATAGGGCTTCAGAGCAAGGTCCAATTTCTTACCCCACCTTTTAGATAAAAGTGTCTGCCAAATAGAATTAATTATTCTGTAATACTCCTAATTATGGTTCTTATCCTAATATAGCTACAAAAACCCACTATACTTAAAAAGAGACCAGTCGTATTCTTCAGTCCCATTCATTAACTACAGTTAACTAACCAAATGACACACGTGATTTATGGAAAAATTCATCCACTAACCCTTTATCCTGGGGAAGGTCATGGAGAGGCCTGGAGCTCATCCCAGGCAGTACAAGACACAGGGCTGGGGAACACCTTGGATAGGATGCCAGTCCATCACAGGGCACACACACACACACACACACACACACTAATAGTTCAACAGTATTAAAATGGCTATATATGGGACTTCATCATGATAAACCAAAACCCAGATAGTGGGTTTTGGTTTTTTTTGTAAAAATCATTAGATCAAGCTCAGATAAGCCGATATAAATATAAAAACTGCAGCAAAAGAATTTTTCAGAAAACTGAATTGTAACAATTTTTTTAAATGAATGCAAGAAAAAATGAACAAAGACAGGAAATGAAAAAGAGCAAAAAAAGATGTGAAAGTGAGATAGTGTTTCAAACTTCCTGCGCACGGAAGCCGAATGTACAGATGGAAAGAAAAAGTGTATCTCAAAAGACGAGACCAGGAAGGGAAAGTGGAGGATAATTGATTGAGAAATGGTAAGTAATATTCATATCTGTATCCCTCAGACTGCAGACATGACTGAGTCCACAAAATAATTATGGATTATGAGTTAATTTGTGTGTACAGATAAGAGGCTGTGATACGGTTAGAAATAACAAGTGATTATCTCTGATTACAGATCACAGTATTTTGGCGTTACATTGCCTGGATGGTCAACACACTCAAGATAAATTTGTTGAATTTCTTTTTTCACTGGCTTCTCTATTAGATTTGCGTGAAAAAATAGCATATATGTATGTATTTATGTATGTATGTATTTATGTGTATGTGTATGTATAAATTAGTGTCTTATGCAGTAGCATTGTATCTAAACTCATTTGAAGTCCTGGCATCTTTCAGTTTTGCATAACGAAAATATATATAGACACAAATCATTCAGCATTCATTGCGAGGCGTGCCACCGAGGAACATATGTGATATTAGTGTCTATGACTAAGGACAGAATATTTATTCTGTTTTAAATCGGTTGTTGAAAATTCACAATAATCTGTATATGCATGTAGTCATATATGCTTTGTAGACGCAAATAAGCAGCACACCACGCTAATACTGTTACAAGGAGACTGATGCAGGGGGACAAATATAATGTAACACCGCGGAACTGAGCTTCAGAAAGGAGCTACTGATCGGTCAGGGTTTTTTTTTCCCCCTTCACTGGAAGTCTAACAGGAAGAGTGAAATCGATAAAGAGCGAAACTAAGTTGCCAGGCTGAAATAATTTCATTACGATATTGGTAGATGACCTTTTGAAGAAATCACATGCTGTAAAACATTGTTATATTTGTCCTAAAGGCAAACATATAGAGTGGGTATATACGAACGGGTCTTCGGGATTTTTTTTACATGTAAAAAAAATAACGCGATCGACTTTCGCTCTTCCGCGTTGCAATGTTTCTTTCAAACGACAAACGGCGACTTTCAAACCGGAAATCTTATTGAACGGCAGTCTCTTCCTTATACATAAATTTGAGGTAAGTTTTCAGTCCATCGGGATATGATCTTGGCGTTGTTGATTTCGGTGCATAACGGGTTGGTGATGGCCGGGGGTGCTGTGGATAGCCGGATCGGACGATTACCCAGTCGAACTGGCCCAAAGGAGCCATACACAACGCGATCGCCAGGTTAAGTCGCCGTGTCACATGGCAATGTTCACGGTCGTGCCAAAGTGACTTTATTAAGTGTAGCCATCTAAATAGCGAAGTGATTGCAAGCGTGTTTCCGTGTCAATATACACACGATTGCCCTTGTTTTCTTTCCTTTGTTAAGTATTGTATTGCAATTTTAGAATGCTGTAGTATATATATGAAGTGTATAAATCATGTATACTTTTTTTCAGTGTATATGAAGATGTACTGAAATGGACTGGTATATAAATATGTTGGATAGAGATACGTAGATATGCCTCTTTTAATAAATACAAAGAATAAGCGTAGTGTTAAGTTATGCCCTTCTGATACGGTTTTCCAAAAAAATAAAATAAAATTCAAATAAAGGGACAGTTTACATAAACAACAAAACTGATTATTGCAACTGTTTCTTGTATAAATATTGCAGATAAATGCATCGGTACGGGTGACATGTAAATCAGTCTGTAAGTGTATAATCAGTGTATGTTATAATACAAGTATTTCAGGTTCAGTTTCTTCCAAACGTGGCTAATTATTCTAATTTCAATTTTCAGCAGATGTAGTATTGTGTTTCAGCCCTCCGTTTTTAATTCAAGTTGCTGGACTTTTTTCTTTGACTTCGGAAACTTTGCTGTCGGTTTTCTGTGTTAAACATCGGGTCTAGGTCCATACCAGCTTACCGCCCCACAATCGTAAAGTCCCGATACTGGTTAACATACCCCTCGTCTATCTGTGAGTATATGTGCTCTCCATGACCCTCTCCGAATATCCACCCATTATTATTATTATCATTATTATTATTATTATTATTATTATTTTTCTCTGTCATGACCATTAATGGTCCATTAGTATGTTGCTTTTCAGCTAGCTGCTGTGCATTTCTGTTCTTCCTAAAAGAGGAGTAGCTTTTCCTAAATTGCTAAGTGATAGCCGTTGCATAATCGGCATGCATTTTCACATGCTGGTGTCAGCAGTTATGTTTTGCTGTGTCAAGTCACTTTCCAGCCACTGGAAATGGATAATTGAGCCCAAACTGTACTGTCCATACTTATTTTTTGGATTCCTTTTCACACCTCAGGGACAAGCCTGCTGCCACAGACCTCGCTGTTTGTGGGAGATCTGACATCTTGTTCTGGGGTGGGAATGCAAGGGGGGGTGCTGCGATGCTGGCTGCATTTGTGTGACGTATCGCATGCGGTATACTTGTGATCTGCCGAGACTTGGAGGCTCGTAGGATGTGAGCAGCATACTCAGATGAATCGTAAGAAAGCAGATTATTTTATAGCTAAGCTGCTCAGAATCAAGTTTTTTAGAGGTATGTATGGAAATGGTTGAAATTATTTTGAATTGCACTACAAAAGACCTCACCTGAGATATAGATACACAGCTGTTCCTCCTTGTGAACAGGCCTTTGATGCTTCCTGTTGCTCTACCACCCCCCCAATTCCCCCCCCCGCCCCCGCCTGAGCAAGTGCAGTCTTGTTTGAACCTTGTGTCTGTTCTGGAGGAATGTGGGCTATTTAATGTTTCCGTTCTCCCCATCTCTCTCAGTCACTTTACATAATTTCTGAAAAAGGTGCTATTTTTTATTTTTTTTTTGGTTCAGTAGGGGGCCTTGTGGAGGCCGTTAGGGGGGTTAGCCTGAAAACCGCAGGGCAGATGTGGACTAACATTGTTATTCTGGCAATTTTGAATGGAGTGCAAAAGTAATGTCGTCATGCTCATTTTCACTATTGTCTTGAAATAGCAGCAAGGGTTTGCGGTGGTGTGGAAACTAATATTTTATTAATGGCATTGTAGGGTATTAGATCTGTGGTGTTTCTGGGTTTTTCATTTTTAATTAAATTTATGGAATGAAGCATCTGTTGTAAGGGGAAGAAGTCGCAGCTAAAAGAGAGACCTATGTCCAGTCCTGTGGCAACGCAGATGCCAGCACATGATTCTTGATCCCCCTGGGGAGCGCTGTGTCCATCCTGTGATTAGACGAGCACAGACGCCAGAATGGGCTGCCTGATTCCCCTGCAGAGTGCTGTGTCAGGTCCTGAGGTCATGTGAGCACGGCTGCCAGCACATGATCCCCGATTCCCCTGCAGAGTTCTGTCTCTGGTACTGAGGCTACGTGAGTGCGGGTGCCAGCACACAATCCCTGAACCCCCTGCAGAGCGCCGTGTCCGGTCCTGCGACTTCACAAGTGCAGACGCCAAAACGGGATCTCTGATCCCCCTGCAGAGCGCCGTGTCCGGTCCTGCGACTTCACAAGTGCAGACGCCAAAACGGGATCTCTGATCCCCCTGCAGAGCGCTGTGTCAGGTCCTGCGGCTACGTGAGTGCAGACACTAGCGCGTGATCCCCGATTCCCCTCCGGAGCACTATGTCCGGTCCTGGGCTGTGTCCCCCCCTCTCCCATGCTTTCTCCTGGGTCAGACAGCTCAGGGAGGTGCGGGTGTTAACAAGAGGCCAAAAAGAGCTCTTTCATTCCCAGTGGGAACGGAAAATATGAGACTGGACCACGCAGAGTGTGTTTACTCAGGGATGGGGTGGGCTGTACAAACTGACTGCAGGCAGGTGATGGTGGGGCAGGAGAATGCTCAATACATGCGTTGTTAATGAGAGCTCAGTTGAGCGCGGCAAGGATTTGGCTGTTGTGGGCTTTCAGCTAAGCTAACCTGTGTGATGAGGATTATTTTTACAGGAACTGTAAGAGTTTCCAAAACTGGCCAGGATTTTATGCGGGGAGTAGGCTGCCCTGTGCATTTACTGTAGGTTCATACCGCATGTCACCGGGGTCACCGTCTGGCACCCCTCCCTCCCCCCCAACTAATCCTGGCCAGGCTCCGCAGTGTTTTTTTTTTTCCTCGCTGAGCCACGTTTGTGCCACGGAGGGCCCCCGAGATGGGAAGTCCATGGATCGAACAGTGCGTTTGGGAGAGAGGGGCGGCATGGTGCAATTACTTCAGTGCCAGACAAACATTTGGAAGCGTTTAGGCGTGCCGCCCTTACCCCGCCAACTCCCCCCCACCCGATTTCCAGACCTTGCCAATAAGTGTCCCTGACTTTGAAAAGCTTCAGTGTTGCCTGTGACGTAGTGCCTGGGGTGACCGTGGGTGTGGCAGGGGGGCACTGAGAGGTATGTGTTTCTTTCAGAGCATTGAACGAACGAGGCTCTAATGAAAGATGCTTTAATAATTTGTGCTTCTTGAAGGTCCTTTTGTTTTGTTTCCGTTGAGGTAGGAAGACAATCCACATGTCCACCACTGTACTGTGGTGGTTTGGGTAGCAGGGCTAATTGGGTGGCTCTGTGAAGGAGCGTGAGAACGAGAACAAGGGAGCCTCATTTCACACCTTTACTGGTGTCATCTCTTTCTCCCTCCCTCCCTCTCTGTCTCTGTCTCTCTCAGTTTCGTCATATGAGCATCCTGTTGCACGTTATCTTTTTCTTGTATTTTTCTCAGAACACCTCTCTGCACTTCCTGTTCCTGTATCCATGGTCTCGCTAGGGGCATGTTCTTTCAAGGTACTAGCAGGCAGCCCACACCTGACCCGCTGGGTGGCTTGGGGGGGGGGGGGGGGGTGTGTGGCAGACACCCCCATATCCCCTGCAGCCAGGTGGAGATCGCAGTCAGCGTCTTCCTGGTGGCTTGGCAGGCCTTGGCCTGCTCTTCCATTCCCTCCATTCCCTGCCAGGGCGTGTGTCCAGTGACACCTGAATTCATGCCTTCCATTTAAAGCTGTGAATGAATCGCACCGCCGAGCCGTGATACAGTAGCTTTCATGTCGTCGTAGCACTTAAACACCAAGCCTGTAAAACAGGATTCTCCCCCCAGCAAAACAAGCAGCTTCCTTCATGTGTCGTATCAGAGCTTTCAGGCCTGCTTTCTCTTTCAACAGAGGCCATCACCAGCTTCCCCCTCAGGTTGGAGTTCGCTTAGTCGACTGCTTATTATTTCCATTCAGATAAGCAAGAGACTAACCTAACCTAACCCCGCCCCCACCCTCCCACACACACACACACACACACACACGCACATACACATGCACACACACACATACAACCTTACCCTCAGCCAACCCTGTTTGTCTTTTCTTTCACAAGAGTCTGGGCGGGAGTCAACGAGAAATGGCTCTGATCGTTTCCTGAGGAAATTACACCCACTTCCTGTCTCTGCCACCCTGCCCTTCTGCTCAGGCGCCTCTAGGGGCAGCTTTGCGGGACCCAGCGAGGACCCCAGCGAGTCCTAACTCATTTCCCATTGCCTCAATCTGATTAAGAGAAGACAATTTACAAAATAAACAAATAGCCATTCATTTCTATTTTAGGCTATACAATTACTGTGCTGAATTGTACAGAAGGCAGTCAGTGTAAATAGTAATTACATCATTAGCAATTAGGGCAATGTATAGACAACTGCATAAAAATAAGGCCATTCAGCTTTGACTGTCATATAACTTAATTCTGTGTTATTCCTGCACTTTTTCTTCTTGTTTATAGTGTTGTGGACTGTACTGTGTTTAGTGTGAGTCTGTGAATGTTACTTGATTGGACTTAATTTGACAGTAATATTATAAATGTTCATTTGTAAGACCTGGTGAGATCATGCAAGCTGTTGCAGCCACTGAGTTGGCTAATAGGGAACTGAGCAATTTAGATTTGTTCAAATATTACATTGATTTATGATTGTTTCATCAGTACATTATGGAAAATGTAGTTTTTGTAAGGGATGTCATTACAGCTGACCTGCAATTTTAGGGAGCTGAAAATCCATAGACGATCCCATGTAGGACTGGAAAGTTTGGTGGCCCCCATGTGTTCCCTGAAGACACAGCGCCCCCCCGTGCTCATTCATAATTGTGATGCTTTCCCGTGTGCCTGACGAAAAGTTGACCCCAGACGCAAGCCGGATGACTGTTCCTCCCGGATTTGTGGCTCAGCCTGTAGACAGCTGTCACCAAAGCCTCGCACCAAACAAACTTGCTTACATTTTTATCCTTTTACCAGTTTTTATTAATGCTCTGCAATTAATGCAACATGCTTGGTGATTTGAAAAATGCCTGCTGAATAATTTAAACAGGTATTTCAGATTGAACACAGATTAAGATATCCCCTAATGATATAATTTTGTGTTTGGATAATGTAATATTTCAGTAACGGGTTTCCGGGCTCTTGATCTTTTCAATGTATTAAGTTTGATATGTGAGCCTATTTTGGTTTGTGTGCTCTTTGTGAAGTGAAGATGCTGCTCCGAGTTGGTGAAAAGCTTCTGAGTACAACAAAAATACATGCTGAGGCTTTTTGCACCATAGGTTAGACCTTGTGTTCACTTGGGTTATCTCGGGTTCACTGCTTTGCGCAGCAGACGCCCACACTACTCGTTTTATTTCCTGTTGCTAGTCCCTGTCAGCAGAGCTAGCTAGTTTGGGTGGGGGAAGTGAGGTAACCAATGTTCAGGAGAACCAAAACAAGTTAAAATAATGAGAAAAACAGGAACCTACAACTAAGCTAAAATATAGCCGTCAAAGGTTCTTAAAATAGCTTGAACAGAAGCTGTACAGTAAACACCCCTGATTAAAAGCACACAGAATCAGAAACAGCAGGATTTTGAGTGGGGAAGTGCAGTGTGGAAACAGTGCTGTTTCCTTGCGCACATGCTTTAACCAGCTGCCTTCTCCCAGTCCTTGCTGGGCTCGTGGTTTTTTTGGCACAGCGCCCCCTGCAGGTCATCCTCATGTTTCAGGGCTCCTAGCAGGGGCATAGCTGGTAGTGAGTCATGCTCCAGTGGCCAAGTTTTTCCAGTGAGGTCCAGGCTCTTTTGTCACTATAGCCTCCCAGCAACGTTCTCTCTCAGTGACACTGAATCTCTGGTGATCCAGCCCCCCCTCCCCCCCCAGCAGGACTGTGGATGAGTGCATTAACCCCCCTCACTTTTCTCTACAGAGGGGCCTGGTTGGAGCACAGAGCTCAAAGGACGCCATGAGCATCATCGGTGCAGAAGATGAGGACTTTGAGACTGACCTTGAGTCCGTAAGTGTGTCTTTGCTGCAGTTCTCCTCACAGACCTGGGTTAGGGAACAGGCCTTCCGACTCCAGTGAAAGGGATTTAATGACATTTTTCTGTGGTTGTCCCAGTAGATTTTGGTTTGTTAGCAATCACCCCTCTGTTTTTGTGCCCCTCGTTGCCCCTTTCCGGCTGCCCCTGCCCCACTCCTCCTCTCAGGCAGTAGATGACTACTGCAGCCATTTTAGTAGTCTCGACCTGGTGAAGACCCGGCCCACCCACCTGCTGGTCTTCCTCCAACATGTCATGCTCCAGTTTGACTGCGCACCTTTGGTGAGCCTTTGCCAATTGCAGGGACCGATCAGGGGTCTTTATGGACCTCAGGAAGTATAGCCTTTCTTTGTTTTTAATAATGGCCGGTATGTGTGCTGGTGTTTGTACAGGTGTATCACTTTTTGATTTTGAGAAAATGTCTCCAGTCACTCCTCACCAACCAGAGATGATTCTGCGAAACCTACTCTACTGCTGCCTCTATGCACTGTATTTTAAAGAAAACTAAATTATAATTTTTAATTAGTTTCTAAACGTTTTTAATTGCTTGAGTTTTGTAGTTATGCTATTAGGGCATGATTTATTGTTTTGAAATGAGCCTATTAGAAGTCAGAATAAGAGTAGAAATAGGGGTGTGAAAATTGGTCACATGATACTTTGGTCATGTGACATCGTCCTTTGGCACTGCCACTGCATGTCATAAGCATGCCTCTCTCCCTTTATTCTGCGTGCAGACACCGTGATGGCCTGAGGTATCGGCGTGCCCTGTCCTTCCCTTCTCTCACTCTCTGTGAGCTTCAGCATGTCGCTGCAGTAGCTGTGTGTCCGTTTGTGTGTGTGTGTGTAAGCACATGTGTGTCTATGTGTGACTGTGTGTGTATGCACATGTGTCTCTGTGTGTCTGCACACCTGTCTTTATGTGTTTGTGTATGTATGCACACCTATCTGTGTATGACTGTGTGTGTATGCACACCTGTCTATGTGCGTCTGCGTGTGTATGCACATGTGTCTGCTTTTGCTCAGGCTGCATAGCTGTCTCCCTGCAGGTTCCATTGTCACCCTTGTGGTAGAGTGTCATTTCAGATTCTGTTCTTTGTCATGCTGGTGGCATTTATGACATGGTGTTTAAACAGACTGAATGTTGTAACCCCCTGGGCTCCTCCCGGTTACTGCTAACACTCCCCCCCCCTGCATCTCTCTGCTCCCGTGTTCCCTCCTTCACCGTCTCCCGCCCCTCCAGCTTTGTTACCTCCATGCCGACCTCTTCAGGACCTACAATGCCAAAGAGACCAAGAAGCAGTTCTCTGATTTCTACAACACATTTCTGGACAAGGGGGCGGTGAGTATCTCCGGGGGGGCAGAGAGTATTTCCTACAGGGGGTGGTGATGAGTATCTTTGTGGGGGGGTGACGAGTATCTCTATGGGGTGGAGGTTATGAATATCCCTGAGGGTGGGGTTGTGGCGAGTAACCCCTTGGGGGGGGGGTTAGGCCGGGGTTTGCATTGTGTGCTGCATGAATGCAACCTTAGCCTCCCTTTCATCTGCAGTTCCCTACCTAAACAGATCAGGCCCCTGCCATTCGTATACCCCTTGTTTCTACCTTTTGCTGTGCATCCCTCTCCCACCATCGCCGCCTCACCCCCCCCCCCCCCCCTCTATGACAGCACCCATCACCCTCGCCGCTCGCTGACCTTCTGCTTCCTCTATGCTGTGGGAATGACCCTCAGGGCTCTGCTTCCTCCCTCGCTCTCTGCCTCTGCATCTCGCCTCATTCCGTCGAGCTCTTTGTGGTGGAAGTCAGACTCCGCAGTTGAATTGACTTGTTTCTGCTACTTGCTGGTTCAGCTTTTTTTTTTTTTGTACTTCTGCTGTTCTCTCACCCCACTGTCTGTGTTCAAAACTGACTGTATCTAAACATGAACATGGGGCTGGTTTTACTTAGTACTGTATTTTGTTCAACTTCAAATGATCTTTATTGATGTACAAGTAATTGTACATGTTCAATATTGCCACCTGGTGGACATTTTTCTGTACAAGGCTATTTAATAATGTATTTTATATATCGGTAGTTCAGCTGATTGATATGGAGGGAAATCCCAGACATTTTTCAAAAGGAATTGCAAATTGCATTTGCAATTGCGTTTTCCATATGTGGACGCATAAAGTGTGACATAATTCAAATACAATTGCAAATTTGCAATTTTAAAGTGCATGTTTATAATTCAACCACATGAATTCAGTTCATTTAATTTTGCCTCAAAATAAATTTCAAAAGAACAAATTCAGTTGAAAATATTCCATGTGTTTTATTCGCATCTTTATTATTCAAGCAGCAACATTCAGTCCTCTTATTTCTGCTTTACAATATTCAGTCCCATTATTTTCGCTGTTTCAAATACGCTGCCACAATTTCAGTGGTTTAAAATACGGTCCGAAATTCATTTAGGGTGCTGTGAAATTTATGTTTCCTGGTGATGTGTTATTACTGTTTTTTATTACACAACACGTATATGCACATGTATGCTTACACATCATGGTAGGCATGAACAACAAACCTACAGACAATCTCTGACAATGAAACAACACACAAATCTACTTGCTCAATACAAACAGAAACGGAAGCACACTGCATCATGAACATAGTAGTAGGAAAAGTATTTGAAATGAGTCACCAGGAATAAGCAGTATTCCATTCCAGACATAAAATCCCAAATAATTAAACTCAAAATGAGGTAGAGATTGGAAAATCTTTCATTTACTATTAGATGTCTTCATAACAGCACAATGTACCTGTTGTTGTGGTTTAGTAAAAAGGAATCAATGATTTTTTTCACTGTCCAGAGCTCTTGTTCTTTGAGGGTTAAAGCAATGCATTTATGGTATAAAAACCTCGCGAGAGCAAGACGACTTGAGACCGGTCATGCAGCACCTCTCAGCCAGCTGCACAAACTGGAACCGCCTCCATGACGACACAACTTTGCCCTTATTGGCTGAAGTTTAGTTACACGTATTCCTGCCAGTTCCGATGCATTATCTGCTATTTCTCCCAAAAGCAAGTAAAGCAGTGAGAACTGGTTTTCAGTTAATTTACCTGGTAAAATAATTTTTTAATAAATTACATAAATGCTCTAATAGTACACGCAAGTTAGTTGTTTATTTATTGTTGGTTACTGTAATGTTGTGCTGCTTTATTTGTTTAATCGTCCAGTCTGTGAAGAAGACATTCAAGTAAGAATTGCATTGTACTCTACATGACAACAAAAACTTTGAATCCGTGAAATACATGTATTTGATCTTTTTCCTGGCAGCTATCTTTTTACACAGGGCCACTATACACGATAGTTTATTTTCTTTCCACTGCTAACAGTTTGGATCAGGAGTTGCTTATTGTAAAAGAAGTAATGTGCATGCAGGTGATATTTGTATAGATTTATCTACACCCTTCTGGCAGTGCTGCCATTGCAGTCAGGTCTCGCACACTACGAGGAGTAGAAGTTATCCAACTTGGCTGCAGTCAGTTTATACTCCACCCCTGCAGCCACCGGCAGATCTCGCTCCACATCAGGTCAGCTGCAGACAGACCTAAGCCCAAGTCGAACGCACCCAATGTAAAAAAGTACGTAAGGTCAAACGTTAAATACGCTCTCCACCCTTTGGCTGAATCAGATCATTTTTTAGGTGACGTCATCTTTTTCCGTTTATAAATGTTTATTTTTTAATTGGTCAAACATAGTACCCATGCAATAGAAATGTAAAATTAAAAATACTCATAAAAAATTATATCTTGGGTGTGCTACGGGGGTGCTGTAGTTATTCCAGGGGTAGCTATAAAACCCCCAAGCATCCCCCTGGCGCCGCCCCTGTCTGAGAGTCTTTGTTAGCAACATGAATGCTGCCTTCATTTTTTATTGAAATTATTTTTCAGGTTCTCAGGGTGTCCATTCCTAGCCACATAGCCTTTGAGCTAGGTGAGTCGGTGCCTTCAAGCAGTCTGATTGGTTACGTCTGTATAAATGTTACATTTCGGCTCATTTTCTCTGTTGCTCACTTAGACCGCTTCCGCCCTGAGCTGCTGGGTGATGAAACGCAGAAGCGCTTTGCCCTTGACATCCAGAATAACATCTCCTCAGAGGTCGCCAAGCAGCTGGACGACTTCAGGTGCCCAGCATCCTCTTTGTGTTTTTGGGCAGAGAAAAGCGCTTTGCGTCTGTGATCCCGGCTCTTCCATTTCACCAAACACAATAGCTCACAGGGCGCTTGGCTTTTACAGGCCTGTGGTCAATATTAGCCCCTTTTTTTATATAGGAAAAGCTAATTTTCACAATCTTATGATTATCTTTTAAGGAAGTCAGCCTGAATTAAGTAAGTTGTGTGTGTTTTATTTTTTTTAGAAGACCAAACTAATTAATGCACGATGTTATTGAGATTGTGGTTTCTTTAGCATTGGATAGATGTGGAGAAATGTTTGCTTGCCTGATGCCAGGTAGGAGGCTGTTGAAGGTTCAGCTGAACGTGCACTAGCTGTGGGTCACACTCACAATGATCCTTAAACCATGCGAACAGCCTGCGTACCTGTACTAATCCTGCCCCAATCCCAGCACTGTTCAGCATACTCTGTCTGAGCATGTGCACTAACAGCCCCCGATGATCCCCCTCCCCTCCCAACATGTCCAGAACAAAGAGGATGATGGGAATGACACCGTACGAGCATGAGCTGATCGAGGTAGAAAATCACCGAGCCACAGAGAGGATCCCGCTGGAGATGAAAGAGAAGGCCATGGCTGAAACGCTGCTGGACAAGATGTTCGACATCCAGTGAGTTCCCTCTATTGGTTGGGGGGGGGGGGGGGGGGGGGGGGGGGGGGGGGGGGGGGGGGGGCAGCACAGCTGAAATGGCTCTACTGTGGAGATGGGAGGAACGAGGAGAGAGGGAGGCAAAGAGGCAGAGATGGAGGGGACTGATGGGGGGGCAGGGTAGATACGGGCAAAATGTCCTTTGGGAAGATGGAGGTGCAGCTGTGTCTGGCTGCTGTCTGTGAGGGGGGGGGGGGTGATGAACTCAGCAGTGCCACGTTGGCAGGAAGCTGTAACTGTGGCAGCCTGCCAGAGCTGGGGGGTGTGCAGCGTGGGGGGGTCAGTGGCAGGAGTTGACGTGGAGAGGCTGAAGCTCAGCTCATGGGCACCGGAACATCATGCTAGCAGAACCCCCCCCACTTTAGCTTAAGGAGCAGCATTTTATGCTGAGGTTTTTGGGGAGGTTGTCTGTCTGAGACAGGGTAATTCAACAGGCACATAGAATCTTCAGTCCCTTCCTTTCAGTGACTGAAAGTGCACCACCACCACTGTAAGTGCCCCTTGCTTCTCACTTTCATGATGATGTCACCTCCCCCACCTCCCGCTGGCTGCCCGAGGCCTAGGAAGAGGGAGCTGAATCCCTCTGATTGGCTGTTCCCGGGGAAGCCCTCTCAGTTCCTTTTGTTTTCGCTGAAAACACAGGGATCCTGTTTCTTGATTCTTGCAGGCTTGTTGCATCAGACAAACCGTTTAAATACAGGTTTCCACCGGTCTTGAAACTTGTTTGATTCTGCAATTTCACCAGTAGGGAGGTGTTTTTTTTTTTGCTGATGTTTAGCAGGAAACGTTTTGAAATACAGACGTAGAAAGAGAGATTATTATGCTCATTTTCCTTCAGTTGTACAGTAAATAACTTTGGAAGCATTAATTATACTTGCTTTAACAATAAGATTTTATGTCTCAGTGAAGTTATTCTTTTCTGATTAATTGAAGGACCCAAAATATACTTTTTTGGAAATATCAGAATATGTTAATATCTCTCTGCTCTGAAACCAGCCGCACTGCAGCTTGCTTGAATTTGCAAAGGGAAAAGCAGAGTAACTTTAGGTTTCACCGGCCCAAAGCAGCACAGTTTCCACTTAGTCGAGACAGAGAAACGGAAAATGCGACTTGAACGGTGAGTCTGCTGTGGTTTGTGCTGGGCATACTCGCAACCTGCTGCCCTTTTACATTGCACCGTTGTCTTTTCCAGAACCCCAATCAGTACAGATGAGGAGAAATTGTGAGTATTCATTATTATTGTTGTTGTTGTTGTTGTTTGTTATTTCTGTTATTATTAGAACTTCAAATTTGTTTTCCAGTAATTACCTGTTCTTAGGCTGTTTGGGATACTTTAGTTTCTCAGGAAAGTAGGCACGGGTGTTTTTCTGTCAAACAGATCTCACAAGTGAATAGTTATTATTTTCGGGCTGTTATTTTTATGCTGCAGGATTTTGTTTAAATTGCATGCTAGCGAGGGAAGTGTTGTAAACATGATTTAATGGGTGCATGATTTAATGGGGACGTTAAGATCATAACAAAAATGTGGCTAATGCATGGAGTGGAGCTACATGCGTTTGTCTTGAGTCTTTAGCTTGCAGCCTTGATGACCTTGCGTTGTTAGCTTGGGCGTTGGACAGTCAGATAACCACTTCATTAGGGTGTAGTGCTTCATGTTTTGTATCATTTTTCACATAATTTCCTTTGACCCAGCTCTCATCTTCTGATGTTGAGCCACTCCCCTTTACTCAGCCACACCCACGTCCAACCTCTCCCATGCTGTCTGCCACTCCCCCCTCACTCAGCCACACCCACATCCAGCCACTCCCATGCCATCGGCCACTCCCCCTCACTCAGCCACACCCACGTCCAACCTCTCCCATGCCATCGGCCACTCCCCCACTTTATATTCACCAGCCACACCCACATTCAGCCACTCCCATGCTATCGGCCACTTTCTCTCACTTAGTCACACCCACGTCTAGCTGCTCCCATGCTATCGGCCATTGCTTCTCACTCAGCCACACCCACATCCAGCCTCTCCCATGCTATTGGCTACTCCCCCTCACTCAGCCACACCCACATCCAGCCTCTCCCATGCTGTCCTACTGTTTCCTTTTTTTATATTCACCAAGCCACACCCTTTAAAAAAACTTAAATCCCCAACATTTCTCATGATGCTCCCCATACCCAGCATCCCAGCCTTTTTATTTTACTCCCACCTCTACCAAAGAGCACCAGACACAATTACTTCCAGTTACACTAACAGGTACATTTATTTCATTTCTCCTTTTGTCGTCTGACTCTGAGGCCCATCTCCTCACCTTTTCCTTCTTGCAGTCTCATTTGTTCTTTCCTCCTTCTGTTCCATACTCCCTCCTCCTCGCCCTTGATAGATTTGGTAGAAACGGCAGGAGAAAGTTTGAGACACTGTGTTTGTGTTTGTGTGTCAGCTCCGCCATCTTCAGTGCGGTTGCCTCCTTCATGAAGCACCTTGGAGTGAAGGCCAAGGCCACGGACAACAAGAAGTCCAGGAGCTTTTTCTGGAAGGTCTTATACTCCTCTCCTGTTTTCTGTGTTTTTTTATCCAGTCTCGTATCCTGAGTGATTGGGCTCTTGCGATGAGCGGACAGTCACAAAGCTGTTCATGTCTTCTTCCAGATCCCTGGAAGGAAGCCCGATGAAACCAAAACCAAGCAGCGCTTTTTCAGTGACCCAGGACGTTGGATAGGTGGCAGCAGTAAGTTCCCCATCCGCTGACCAACACTGATTCGTGCCTGACTGAATGCTATGCTATTTGTAGCATTTTTGTTCCTTGTTATTATCCTATAATGTATTACAATAGTTGTTTCAACATTAAACAGCTGCAAACACTTTAAATATACAATTTCTGCAGATCAGGCCACAGTTTTTGAGTTGCAGGTTACTTTATTTTGGAAGTTGCTGGTGTGTGTTTGCTTGTTTGTTCGTTTGTTGTTTCGTTTGTTTTCAGCCCTGCAATAAAAGAGCCTTAATCAATGCAAAAGCACAACATGGTGATGTGAAATGTGAATATTATGCTTTCTATTTTGTGTGTGGAAGTTGAATATGTGGCAGACCAGGTTTGTAAGTTGGTGAGATCTGATTTAATATAATTTTTTTTTTTTTTAATTTAATCTATCCTGTAAGACTAGGTCTTATTTCAATAGCAAAATTGTCTTGCTTTTTTGTCCTTTCAGATGAAAGCAAAACTAAATTGGACAATGAAGGTACCATGGTCTGCCCCCCCCCCCATTCTCAGTGGTTCCCCCTCCCACAGACACACACACACACACTGAATGGTTTACCCCTTTACTAATCAGACTGAATGCCGGCATGCCCCCATCAGGCAGGGAGTGGGCCGATAGTTTGGTAATCACATGGGAGTGCTGTATGGTGTGTGGCATTGACGCCTCCTAACAACAGCAAAGATGAGCAGACACTGCGCTCATGGTAATCAGATGGAACCACGTTTGTTGTTCGGCCTAGCTCTAGCCACTGTGTTCAGATTTAGCCCAACCCTTTAGTTCAGTTGAGCTTTTGTCCTCTAGCATGCATCTGTCAGTGTCTGCATATCTTTGTTGAAGGATTTGATTGCACTTAACCAAACCACCCCCCAACCCAGGACACTAACCCCTTTCCTTACTACAGACTCCCCGATCGGCCTCCCTGCATATACATGTGTGGCTGTCCCACACATCTCTGTTGGCAATCGCTCCCCACTCTTCAACGCTCTTTTGTGATGCCATCTATACTCATTGTGTT